GGCGAGGTGTGCATTTTTAGGGTAGACCTTTTCTAACCCCACCCCTCCTTGTGGGAAGGCAGCATCGCTGTCATGCTGGTTGTCTGAAGGAAACACCTTACTGCTGGCACACCTCTGTACAGTCAGCATTACGACTTCGCCTTCGGACCTTAGGTTTGTTGCTTTTAGTCTTACCGCTCTTCAACCGACCTGTCTGACATGGTAGGACCTTGAGGAACGGTTGTTCCAGCCAGTATAGCTCGGTTGCTTCATCACGATAGGCAAGCCCGACCACCACGTCAAGGTAGCAACAACGGTCGGGCAACTGATTCACCATCATTTACTAATACCCTGCGTCTAACCTCATTAATATTTACCCGATGATCAAATACTAGTACGAGTATCTTCTCTTATTGGCCACGTTTCGCAACCGTAAAGTAGAACAGAACGAACTGCTGCACAGTATACTCGTCTTTTTATTAAGAGATGGATACCTCACTGCCATAGATGACGTTAGTTGGCAAAAACCAAACAACTTTTCTGGTTCCGTGCAAAAATTTCGTCAGACACCAACCCATTAAAACTGATTAGACTTCCAAGATAAATGAATTTGTCAACGCGTTCGACTACCTCACTCCATATACTAAGTTCAGGTGTTGACACTGGCCAGTCCTGAATCATCAACTTGCAGTTAGAGGGGAAGAAACACATCTCAAACATCCTGGCATTGTTACTAAGTGCTTCCAAAAGACTGCATTTTATCAGTGTCTTCACGAAACAGGACTGTCACCTGTGTATTCTAAGTCGATAAGTGAACCTTCTGCCAAGAGATCAGTGCCTGAAAATCCAAACGACAAGAACTTTGTTTTCATCAATATGTCTATGATGAAATTAAATAGAAATGGAGATAGTGGACAGCCTTATCGGACACAACTTGTGGTTGCAAAATCAGATGACAGTTCGCCATATGCTCTGACTGGACTAGTAGTGTTAGAGTAAAGAGCCTTCACAAGGTTTATGTACTTTTGAGGTACGCCTTTCAATGACAGACACTCACAGATACTCTCAGTCTACAGTCATATGCTGCTCTAAAGTCAAGAAAAATTATCATTGTTGGACGCCTCTAACAGCAATCAAGTTCTGGGTGTCACTATAAATATGTTGATCTTTTATATCAGTTCAAAATAATCCAAATACTTAGATTTCATGCAGTTTTAAATAACCCTGTTAGATTCCTGATCAAATAATTTGGCTTATTCCGAGTTGGTCATCCAGCCCAGTTGAACTGTAGCGTTTTCAATATTTCATTAGGTTGACCGCTATCAGCCTATAGGGAATTCATCTAAAATTTGTGTCAAAAAGCCGATGGGACTAAGCGATTCTGTTCATCATTGCAGCCCGGATGCAATCAAGGATGAGTTTTACCACCAGCTGTCTGTTCTTCTCCAGAAAGTGCGTTCGACAGATATTGTAGTACTAGCCGGAGACTTGAATGCGCAGGTCGGGCGTCTAGGCACAGAAGAGAGTCGTTTAGGTGGCCGATGGGGACTCGTTGGTCGCAGGTCAGATAACGGGGACCGTCTACTGCAACTTTGCACAGACCACAACCTGTTTCTGGCTAGCACTAACTTTCGGCACAGTCATCGCCGATGTGCCACCTGGCGTCCTCCCTCTGCATCCCAAGCCTGGACTCAGATTGATCACATCGCGATCAGCTTCCGCTGGCGTGGTTGTGTAAAAGACTGCCGCTCCTTTTGGAGTACCTATCTGGACTCTGACCATGCCTTGGTCTGCACCAATCTTGCCTTACTTTTCAGTGGACAACGAAATGACCACCACCAAAGGATTGATATTAGCAAGCTGGTTGCAACCTCTGTTGCAAATAAGTATCGAACCGAGCTAGCTTCTAGGCTAGCTACCACTCCACCGAAAAGTATAGATGAGCATTGGTTGCAATTGCATGACGCCATGAAAATGGCGGGAACAGTCAGTTGTGGGTTTGCGAAACGTCCCGCTTATAAGCAGTGGGTTTCTTCTGGTTCCTTACAACTTATTGAAGCCCGTCGGTCGACTCCGGGTGACCGTGAGTTTGACCATAAACGAAGGATGTTACGTAGGGAAATTGGGCAAAGCTTGCGTAAGGACCGAGAAGCCTGGTGGTCGGAGCGTGCTAATGAGATGGAAGCAGCAGCTGCATCTGGTAACTACCGGAAGCTCTTCCAGCTCATCCGAGCCACTGGCAGCAAGAAGTCTGGTGTGAGTGAAACAATCTGCGAGGATGATGGGATGCCAATCACTAACATCCATCGACGTCTTGGACGATGGGCAGAATTTTTCGAAGGGCAGTTCAACTGGCCTGCTGCTCCGGCAACATCGGTCAGACTGTCCTGCCCTCCATGGCCGGTGACGACTGATCCACCGAACGAGGAGGAAGTCCGCAAGGAACTCCAACTCTTGAAGCGTTACAAATCACCTGGCCCAGATGACTTACCTCCGGCTCTTTTTAAAGATGGTGGTGACTTTTTGACTAAGGAATTGACGACGTTGTTTACAAAGGTTTGGGAATTAGAGAGTGTACCAACGTCATGGAATGAGTCGATAGTTGTCCCTATCTTTAAAAAGGGTTCACGTCGTTCCTGCAACAACTATCGGGGGATAAGTCTACTTCCGATCGCGTCCAAGCTATTGGCTTCCGTCATACTTCGTAGGTTGTTCAAAACCCGAGAAAGATTGACTCGCGAGGAGCAGGCTGGGTTTCGTTCTGGTCGAGGTTGTATTGATCATATCTTCACCCTCCGCCAAATGTTAGAACATCGCCATACTTATCAAAGGCCAACAATCGTAGTGTTTCTTGACATCAGGGCTGCCTTCGATTCGTTGGACAGGACTGTTCTCTGGGATTGTCTATTGAAGAAGGGTGTGCCTGAGAAGTTTATTAACATCCTAAAAGCCCTATATAAAAACACCTCAGGCAGAGTGAGGGCATACAACCACCTCTCTCCATTGTTCTATACGAGTAGTGGGGTTAGGCAGGGTTGCCCAATCTCACCATTCCTCTTCAACTTTGCCATCGATGACATTCTGGAAACAGCTCTGATGAATGTAAGTAATGGTGGTGTGGATCTGTTGCCTGGAGAAAGACTTCTCGACCTTGAGTATGCGGACGATATTGTCTTACTGTGCGATAATGCCCAAGGCATGCAATCCGCACTTAATCAGTTGGCAATCAGTGTCCGTAGGTATGGTATGTGTTTTGCACCTTCGAAGTGCAAAGTACTTCTACAAGACTGGCAGGATTCCAATCCTGTACTCACCCTGGATGGTGAGCAGATAGAAGTAGTCGAGAAGTTCGTGTATCTGGGTAGCTGCATAAGTGCTGGTGGGGGTGTGAGTGATGAGATCAATGCACGTATAGTGAAAGCCAGAGCGGCTTATGCCAATCTGGGCCACCTTTGGCGCCTTCGTGATGTTAGTCTGGCTGTAAAAGGTCGGATCTACAACGCGTCGGTGAGAGCAGTTTTGCTCTATGCTTGTGAAACCTGGCCTCTCCGAGTTGAGGACGTTAGACGACTCTCTGTGTTCGATCATCGCTGTCTCCGAAGGATTGCTGACATTCAGTGGCAACACCATGTTAGTAATGCAGAGGTTCGGCATCGTGTGTTTGGGCACAGAGATGATAATTCAATTGGTGTCACCATCTTGAAACACCGACTTCGGTGGCTTGGACATGTTCTACGAATGTCGTCCCAGAGAATTCCACGTCGTGCATTGTTTGCCGACTCTGGGACTGGTTGGAAAAAGCGGAGAGGTGGTCAGTGCATGACATGGTGTCGTGGTATGAAAGAAAGTTGCAAAGGACTGGCTTCTGTCGGTCCTTCACGACTCCCTGGTTGGGGTCTGAGAGATGGTGCTACACAGTGGCTAGAGACGTTATCAGATATGGCTCAGAATAGAAGCCAGTGGCGATCCTGCTGTAACCTTCTTTTACTTTCTTCATAAAAAGTGGTTGTGTCTCCCTTACTTGAAAGATTTCTTCCGATTGTACCTTTCCGTTCCATCGGTACGACCGCACTACCTTTCACCAATCTCTTTGTTATCGTTCTCTTTTTCTTTTGTGCTCCTTAGTTTTTTTTCTATCTCCGAATTTTCATTGCTTTGTGTGGCGCATATATATTGGCGCTCTCTTGTACCAATATTTATGTGCTCAAATAAATAAAATAAATCATCATTCTATGTGCAATGTACTTTCACTGATTCCTACGTGTAATTGGCTCAAACAAGCAGCTTTTTCTAGTTAACGGATGAAGCTCAGTTTTACAAGATTCGTGAAAAATCTGCTTGTACGCGAGTTGTTAGAATTTCAACATACAGCAGTAAACTGACGATGTCAAAAAGCTTTATAAAGCTCATAATAACTAGTATTGCTAAGTAATAAACGAATTAGTTCTCAACTGTCGTGGCGTCTTATTAATACGACCAATATTCCTTCCCTCTTGGTCATATAAGTTACAACCTTCATTGGTTTGATAAGTCGACTATAATTTAACAAATTTAGTAATATATCCATCAGTGAAACTACTGAAAATCTAGTTGCTTCTTAAACATGGTTGTCAGAGCCCTACTGTTGCTGATTTTATCTCACTGACGAGTTATATGGATGAAATAGTATTTTGCAAATCGTTCGCATAAAGCTCGCTAGATGTAATCTGTCTGTTATTAAGGTTAAATAACATCAAAAATTGTTACACCATAACTAGCTTGAAATATCTTACTGGCATTCTGTGACTGTAAAGCAGCACCAAGTGGACATTGAACTGTTGGTTTCATGCAGATTTTTGTTCTATATCACATTTCCTTGCTGGTACTCATAATCATAAACTCGGCTCCGTTCCATTTAATAACAGTATTTCCTATTATTTCATGACAACCAATATCTGATTATAGATTTATTATTGACTGTGTTATATTGTCAATTTGTAATAAAAAGAGAGCAAAATATTTATTTTTGTTCTTATATTTAGTTTGCAGTTCGATCCCGCACCACGTAGAGGTGAACCACATGTATCAAGACGTACCCCGGACTACTTCTTATGATTCTCATCCAGTCAATTTTTTTTCACCAGCCTGTGAAAGTAGAGGATTGATCAACAATTTAAATAAGTTCATGTTTTATCCGGTTAACATTGGCCTTTGTGAAAAAAACTACGTTTTGAAACTGTCAACTACTGCTACGGCAACACCGATCTTCTGTTTAAACTTTATTGTCCCACTTTTTTTCTCTTCCTTTGTTTATATCTAACTATATAAACAATAATAATGCCTTGCTAGCCTTTTTACCAGTTTATATAAATATGAGTAGACGTACACGTATGAGTTAATCGAGCAAAACAATTAATTGACTACAAATATATATATAACTGTAAATTGGAAATAATAGTTGATTTCTAATCTTTTAAACGTAGGGAAACTTATTTTCTAGCTAACAGCAAATCTATACTTACATGATTTGCACTCTTGGATTCATAGTTTGCTTAATCTTTTGAGTCTGTTATACTAACTTTAACTTTGCACAGCTGTGTTTAGCTATACACCTAATACTGAAAACGTATAAAAACAACAACAGTATTCTACATACATACAATACAGTTGGTTGATTTCTTCCTGTTTTCATGTTAACAATCTAATTAATTACCGACTTGTCTTAGCGTTTTACTGAAGTTCCTCAACCTATAATATCTCATTTCTGTTTCTGAATCCGTTCACAAAACACTTGGAACGATTTTCTGCTCTGATACATTGATCCACAATTTGTGGTTATTATCTATCATCCTCATTTCATTGATCACTAGATGTTAACATTTTACAGCATATGAAGATTTGTAAGATTCAACAGTCGTGTTATCATCTCATAATCTGTGACACCGTTATTGATAAATATATTTCCCCGACAATATATTTTTGATGCCTACTTCATTTGTTAATATAGAGCTTCTAACAAATGGTTCATTTTAAGCTAGTAGATTAATTCAAAATTGTTTGTAGATTTGAGATTTTGAAAACCTAAGGCTCTCAATTTTATGTTTTTTTGCTTGCTCGTTATTCCATGTATAGTGGTGCAGACCTACTCGTGTCGATGTGCAGAATCTTAGGATCAGTATACTAAGATTATTCTGGAGACTTGGCTCAGAATCGATCACAATGGCGTAGGTGTATACACTCTCTGTCTTCCCTTAAACTAAGAGATTAAAATCGCTTCATATCTCTCTAACAACTCATTCTTTCTTCCTGTACTATGTCCTTATATGCAATCTTTCTTTTATATATTACCACCATTGACTTGACTACTCCTGTCAATCCGGTGTTCATCTTGTGCTAATGAGGTATGGTGACTTGAACCAATGCATATATGTGCCTGGTCCTACGATGTAGCTGACTGACTGAAGATTATTCTGGGTAGATATTGACCAGCTATTTTATCATTGTCTCTTGAGAACGTTGTCGTCGTATTTTCAGACAATTAAGTAAACAGTGCCGAGGTTGGATGTGTATTGCCAGGTAACTGCAATTCAGTTGATAATCATGTAAAACCTCAACCGCTGGCTGAGACATGCATAGACCTAAGGCTGGTTAGTTTGGGGATTTGAAAGATGTGTGGGAATATCAAAACATAACAATAACCCTTTTTAATTACCAGTAATGTCAGCAGGATAACCTGTGACCGTGCGAAACAAGGAATGGGAGGTCTTATTGTTTCATAGGCTTCCTTAGTAAAAGTTACTTTGAGCTAGTTAACAGACTAGCAATGTAATCAACAGAACGAAGTTTACAATTAACAAGATGAAGATTCGTTTCGGTTTTTGTTAGTTTCTTTTTTTGTCGGGTAGATTCACGTGCTAGTCTCAACAGTCGTAGCTGTCCACTCAATGATTTTCCTTTCAGGTTGATTATCAAGTATATATTATAACGCAATCTGTTATCGTAAAACTTCAAATAACACCATTCTCGTACTCACTTTCTCTTTGTCAACAAATTTTAAAGCACTGCATGCCTTTCTAAAAGAGAATTGTGGATCTTTACAAACGGACAGTCGTAAACTCATGTTATGGATGTTGGGCTGTTTCAATGCCAATACGTTGTAACTGGCGTTTCATGCACCCTCAAAATAAAGTCGAATATTTTCTTTCATACAATAAGAGCTCAGCTATAAAGTCCTTCATATCAAACAAGGATCAACTTTTCAAGAAGGGGTTTTTCTATCCACTGAAAGGTTGATAACTGTTGGGTTTCCGGTCTGTTGAGACTTCGTAACTACTAAAAGAGTTAAATGTTCATATAAGTAGCAACAAATTATATTTCAACCTGTCAATATTACACTTTTGTAGATGTTTTGAAATTGTGATTTGAAAATAAATCTGAATTGACATACAAAATATGTTAATGCTAATTTTGTCATCTAAATTAATATATCTATGAAGGTAACGTAAAAGTATCTAGATATCATTTTTCTCAGGAAAACAAATCAAAAGCGATACTATTCGGTTGGTCGTTATCATAACTGTTCTAACGTAGTGAAGATTAGAGTGTAGGTAACCTCTATTAAGTAGCTAGATTATGTATATATATGTTCTCCTTATTTTGACCTATAAGCTAATGTATTGTAATGAACGAGAACACGGGTGGGGACAAACGGATGTATTTAGCACAACAATTACAGTCTATTTCAACAATATCTGAATACCATATATAAAATCGTCAATTTGCAAAATATTCACGCATCAAACCAAACTGAACTGTTTCCGTTGCAAACACTAATCCATTGTCTCCCATTCCATTGTTCATATGTTTTCTTACAAATTCCATTATGTTCTCGCTCCAGCTTTCTTGATCCTCGCCATCTTTTGCTGCCAGACATTACGTTCTTTTAACGCACGTTATATACTACTTAAACCAATATAAGTAGCTCACACCACACTCGTCCCCCCTTTAAGGCATTCGTTCTTACGGTGGTTCATGCTCGCCGTGCAACACTCTCCGTCTCTGCAGTCTGTGCCACGCTCTCCATCCACGTGTCGAGTCTGCGGCGCGCTGACTTCCATAGCTCCGTCGACCTGCCGGGGAAACAACAACCGACACCCACCCGGCACCTGGGACGCTTGACGCCCGTAACCCACCGGCCTGCTGAGCCATCTACATCCGATATCCGCCCAGCAGCCGCGCGTCCCACCGCTCCTCTCCGTCGACAGCACCCGCCACAGCCAACGCCGCCCCGCAAGAACACTCCACCAGACGCCAACACTCCGCACCAGACTACCCCAACTGGCAGCTCAGCCCCAGGCCCGCAACGGTGTCCGCAGAACATCACCCTCCTCCTCTCCCGGTTGACAGCGACACCAAATGTAATGAACAAGAACACCGGTGGGGACAATCGAATGTATTTAGCAGAAAATTACAGACTATCTCAATAAAATCTGAATACCGTCAATTTACAAAATATCAATGCATTATATCAAACTGAACTGTTTCCGTTGCAAACACCAATCCATTGTCTCCCATCCCATTGTACATGCGTTTTCTTACAAATTTCATTGTGTTCTCGCTCTACCTTTCTTGATCTTCGCCATCTTCTGCTGCCGGACATTACGTTCTTTTAACGCACGTTATATACTACTTATACCAATATAAGTAGCACACACCACAGTATGACCTACTCATCTCAGTTTATTGATTACAGTCTCTCCTGCCACCACAGCCACCTTCAGACTTGACCTTGTACAAATGTTATTTCCTGTTTTATGGTGTGATGCGATCTGTTTGGCTTGTATTTTTTGAAATTTATTTTGAAATATATGATTCATATTGAAAGCTGTTATTGGTGTTCTGAAATCAAACTGACAGGGCTGTGAGGAAAAACGACTAATAAGGACACTAAACTGCTCATACCGATCGAACGTCATTGGTTTGACATAGTGCTAAGTTGGGATAAGTCGTATTCCGATTAGCGAATAAGTCACGTGATATTTAGATGGACTATAAGTCACAAAAATAACCTACACGAATAAGACCGAATGGCAGTTGTTTGTTTTAAAAGTTCAGTCCTGGTTACACGCAATTTGCTAAGTTTATGAAGATCAGACGTCAACAAAAAGGTTAAGTTTCTTTTGGATTATCGTGATGAGTCATGTTGATTCATAAATGTTTGACTACAGTATTCATCCATTAAAGGTTTTTCTTCCTTAAGGCGTAACAGGATTCCTTGGCTAGAACCCAAGAATCTCGTACCATTGATGTGTGCTGTATCTCCGAAACACACATACAGGATCCCAGTATGGTCAATCAATTGACCTCATCTCGGCAAAACGGAGAGCCAACGAGATACACCCTTCGTGTATCTGGTGACCCGATGGCCAGTTCTCGTGGACTGGCAGGTGTAGGCATAGCACTAAGCATGAGGGCCGAACAAGCACAGTTAGAGTGGATCCCCGTCAACAGTCGTCTATGTGCTGTCCGGCTAAACGGCTCCGTAAGAACTCGGAAGGATAGGGACACACGTCGTTGCCTTTTTGTCGTTTCTGCCTACGCTCCCACTGACTGCAGCTCAGATGAAGTGAAGGATGAATTTTACAGAAAGCTTTCTGAACTTCTTCAGAAAGCTAAACGCTCAGACATAGTACTCGTAGGGGGTGACTTTAATGCCCAGATACGTAGTTTAAACCAAACGGAAAGACATTTAGGTGGGTATTTTAGTATACCGGCACAACGAACAGATAATGGTGATCGTCTGCTGCAACTGTGCTCAGACAATCGTTTATTTTTAGCAAACACAAATTTTAAGCATGAGGAGAGACATCGTCTAACATGGCGACCCTCTACACCAAACCAACAATGGACTCAAGTAGACCATATTGCCATCAGTCATCGTTGGAGAGGGTCGGTAGAAGATTGTCGCTCATTCTGGAGTACCTGCTTGGACTCCGACCACGCCCTAATACGGGCACGCATCTGCTTGCGCCTCACTGAACGCAAAAAAGTCACATTAAAAAGACCCATTAGAACTGAAATGAGTAACGAGAAAACCAAAAGTAAGTTCCAGGAAC